TCACGTGGCAATTTTGTTTGGGATCCATCCCCCATTGTCAGACAACTCTGGGCAGGTGGAACGCAAGCGCGTCGAGGCGCAAAGATCGCGGCAGGAGGCGGCTTCCCGTCGCTTGCACAGAAGCTTGGTTGAAGTGCCATGGTATTTGGAATTATCATCTTAGTAACTGATTAGTAACCCTGGTTACCCTCTAGTAAACTCACATGGGTATGGATCAATACCTATTAATACCATTTTTAATAGGATGAACATCCATTTACCAGCTATTTTGATGTTCACCAGGGGTACAAGGTTTTGACACACTGCCACATGACTATGGAAAACCACACTCTTTTAGTCTAATGACTGAGTAAAAACATCCATAAATGCCCCATTTTCACTATAACTCTGTTAGTTTACTGCGGGTAGTAGGTCCGTTGGCCAGAGTTACCCCATTTATAACCCCCTTATAACCCCACTTAATTTACTAGCCAGTTGCTTGGAAGGTCTTTTTTGGGGGGGGGAGTGGGGTTGCCAAAACCTAGGGAAACGATATAATTTCCATCACCAAAAAGCCGCACCCTGCTAGCAACATCCAGAAAACCACCTGGGGATGGGTCAACACCTTTTTTTTTCTAAAAAAATGCCATATCACTGGAGGAGTTTTACCATCTACTAACCAGCTTTTGCAAACTTTTTCTTCGGGATTTTGGATGGGTACCATCCGAAAAACCATGGCTATCCATGGCTTTTGACTCATTTGACCATGGTTTTGGCGCATTTTTGACCCATGGCCACTGAAACTGAGGAAAATTGCTCCTGGTGGAGGAGAAACATCGCCTCGCCGAGGTGAGAAAATGGTGACGTGGGTTGTACCCACATCACGGGGGATCCAACTCGGAGCTATATATGTTGCATAACCCAACCATACCCAAGCCACAACCCACAAGCCCCACCCATATGGGTACATGTACAGTAAATCGTATAACTGGGTTCCAGTATTATTATTGTACCCAAAAACCCCAAAAAAAAACGATCAACTAGTTGGAGACTGGGATTCGCATCCAAAGACCCATGAGTTTCAGTTGGTGTCAGGTAGATTTTTTCACAGTAAGCAAGCGGCTAGCACTCATCAGCCGACAGTAGTATCGGTAGGTCGGGTGGGTGTTGGTCCACGCAACGAAATCAAGAGATCATGAAGGAACACCGGTCATCTCCACAAAAGTTGAGCTCAGCTGGTATGATCAACAGAATCATCAGAATCATTAGACTCAATAAATCGAAATGCAATTCCGAAGTGGCGTGGAATCAGGATAAGGTCAACCGGTCAACCCCGAAGTAATTTTAATGACTGACTAGGAATTGAAGCGTGCTCCAAAAAAAAATCCTATATATACTAAATTGATTGCTATCGAAATTAGTACCTCCCCTATTGGAATCTATTGGTCTATGAATCAACTCGCGGTTTCGCAAATTCCTGGTTGACATTTCGCGAGGTTAGCGGCTAGCGAAACTGGATCCACCATCCCCGATTGGACCATTTTTATGGGCAATGGGTGGTTAAAAAACATGCATAAACCATCAAAATATGGCTGGTTTACCCTCTGGTAAACATACAAAAAACGATGGAAAATCATCATTTTTAATGGGTAAATCCGCTACAAATGGTCATTTTCAATAGCTATGTTAGTTTACCAGAGGGTATTAATTTTGGCTTTAGTAACATATAGTAACATGAATCACGTGTTTTATATATTTTAATAATTACAACATATAGTAACATATTATATTAAATATGAGTTTTCAAGTTTGCTTTAGTATGAATTTCTCCCTAATACTAAACACCAATGAAACCATGGTACCAGGATGGGCCCCCAGTCGATAGCGTTCAGTTGCCTTGTAAGTGGCTGAATTCGATGGTTTATGGTAGATATAACAGATATAAAACGAACTAGTTTTCATGGGGGTTTTGTTATGGTTTATAAACCAACTAACATCACTGGGGGTCCCCATCCTGTAGATGTAGGGGCTGAAACCACCACTGATCTGGGTCAAGGAGGCGAGACGTGCAATCGAAGAGGGCCGACGGCGACGTTTCAGTGGTAGTGGTGGTGGTCCTGCGGACGCAGGCACCACCTTTGGAGCACTGGTGGAAGCTGTGGGTGTACCAGTTAAAAAACATGTTTTTTGGGAGGTTTTTTGGGATGTTTGGCGTTTTGCTGCTATATAAAAATGCAATATTTAAGCACATGAAAGCATGAACCAACAGAACTAGAGGTATGAAATGCGGAATATTTTATGATATAGTAAGATAACTTACCAGCTGAATTGGTATTTGGGTGTGTGTCTGCGTGGGCATTTTAGTGAGATTATGCAGATCCACCATCAAATTTGGTGGTATCTTATGTTCAGACAAAGGAATTTGGCAATCAGGTAGTTCCACAAGAAATGCACCCCCCAATTCTTGAAAGCCTCATTGTTTCACCACATTTTGTGGCACTTTTTCTGGGTAAATTGTGGTCCACGTTAGTGTGTCGAGGCATTAATGCCTACCCTCTGGTAAACCTACAAAAAACTATGGAAAATCACCATGTTTAATGGGTAAATTCACCATAAATGGCAATTTTCAATATGAAACTGTTAAATGACCCGAGGGTACCCTCTGGTAATTTGTTACATAGCTATTGAACATTGCCATTGAAATAGTGGATGTTCCCATCAAAAATGGTGATTTTCCATAGTTTTCTGTATGTTTACCAGAGGGTATGTTTCTTGGTTTCACATGGCCTTCAACGGATCGGTCTCACCGGGCTCCCTGTTGGCTTTGCACGGAGCACAGGCAGAGGCAGCAAAGCTGAAACACACCGAGGTCGGTGGGTAAAACAATGTCACCAGCCATGACTGGGGATGGTTTATGATGGTCAAATGATGGTTTATGATGGTTTATGATGGTTTATGATTATATATACCACCGTTTACACACATATATATATATACCACCTATTTAGTTTATATGGTGATAACTGGGGAATGGTTTATGATTGTTTTTACCCACATTTCTGTTTTTAAGCAGAAAAAATCTGACGGCCCAAAAAAATTTGCCCCAGGCCATCGTTTGAGTGAGGTGCACCGGAGGTCAGCCTTGATGCTGGGTTGGCGAAGATGGTCAGCCGCTGTCTTTCTTTGGTTATCTTCAATGGTTTATGGTAGATATAACAAACTAGTTAATGGTGATTATAATGGTTCATGGTACTAAATATGGTTACTTACTATATGTTGCTATAGAATAGTATGGCTACTGTATATGGTTACTACATGTTACTATATGTTATCTTCAATTACTATATGTTACCCTCTGGTAAATTAACTGTTTGACCCTGAAAATAGCCAATTTTTAATGGAAACTAGTCTTCCAATTCCTATCTGCCAGGGTCTATGTTACTAATTATATAATATGGCTAGTATATATGATTACTATATAGTACTAAATAATGATTACTAAAGGGTTACTATATCTGGTTGGTGGTGACTGGAACCATGGAATTTTATGACTTTCCATTCAGTTGGGAATTTCATCATCCCAACTTACGAACTCATATTTTTCAGAGGAGTAGGTCAACCACCAACCAGAGTAACTCCCCAAAAAAGATAATAAAAGTCAGATCCTATGGATGATTATTATGATTATGATGATTATGATGATTCACTTCTGATCACTTTGCCATGGTAAATCCGGGTGTTGCTATGTAAAAACAAAATCTCAATGTGTATCTCTCTTCAACTTATCTTCACTTGCTATCTTTGTCGATTACCAGTGAATCTGACGGATACCAGGCATAGCAGCGAGGGCAGCAAGCGACGCGCCAAAAGCGTCAGGGGGCCCTGGGAACGAAATTTTTCATGGGCGAATGGATGGGACACGACTCAAGAATTTTTGAATGGTGGTTTTCTGATGTTTTCTTGAGTTGGCGCTTGAAATCTTGAAAAGTTTTGTTTGTTTAAGTATATGGCACCACATTTTGTGCTTGAAATTTACATGGTATTCACATGTTGCAAAACAAACAAGTTGAAGAAACAAAACGCGTTCCATAGCCAGACTTCTGAGATGATGAGCACCTGACCACAGTTGATGGGGTGTCACCCAGCAACATCCCCAGGCAGACGCAGATCAAGAATGTGAGGCGATGACGATTTCCTAAGTGGAAGAAGTGGCGAGTTGTTCCCATGGCGATTCAATGACCATGCGATTTTGGAACGATGTACGGCATCCGATGCATATTTTGTGCATGTGCATTCTCAAAATAAATGACAAGAAGATACAAGAAGTACTGTAAGGTTTTGAACGTTTTTGGCCACTGATTGAATATATGGATTTGGAACAACCATCTTCACAATTTGCTTCATACATGTTTGAATGTAGGAATGCACGGTTTTGAATGTAGGAACCTCATTTTACTGGGGTCATTTTCCAGGTCTGTCGTTGTCCCCAGCCCTGGACCGCTGGATACCAGGCGGAACGTCGAAAAGCCGAGCAGGAACGGCAACGAAAGGAAGAAGAAGAGGTGTTTTTCCAGGGCTGGTGGGGGCGGTAGACATGGAGGTTTCCTAGGTCATGCGGGTACCCCAAATCATCCAAAAAGCTGCTTCAGACCCAGCCACAGACAGCCATTGCCAGAATTGTTGAGGGGGACAAATTGCGGGACGACCTTACATTTGACAATTAGAAAACATGGCGTCCGTTCAAGATTGTTCCCAAAATTATTCATGATCTTAAATCTTCAACCATTCTTAGCATGTCTTAAATCATGCTGACATATGCTGACGCATCTCAAATCATCAATTTAATCCACTGATACGGAGGTTTCCCAAAATAGAGGTAATTACCCCAGTTCAACTTCTCATCCATTTTAATAGGATGGATTTTCCATTTAAACCATCTATTTCGGGATGCCCCCATTTTTTTGGGACACCGCATGACGCCGCTGTTTTTCTCAGCTGAACCCTTCGCGATGACGAAGTGGGCCATGGCGACCCGACGCCGTGGACATGCCGCGCTTGCGAGCCTTCTTTGCCAGCCGTGAGGTAGCTCGAGGGACAGCCTCTTAGGTGGGTTTGAGAAGAATGGACCTGTGAAAAATAGGATTTTTTGATAATTGAACCATCCATGATAATCATTATAGTCGTTTTATGTTTGTAAGATGTTGTAACTATCGAATATATGGGGATGACATGATGAACAACTAAAAGTTAGACCCAGAACATCGCGATTTTTATGTGAGAACCAATCTTTGAAGTCTCGACTGATGGTCTATGTGAATTTGGGGGATGGTTTCAATTACTACTTGGATGTGTTAAACACAATAAGATTGGTGGTTTGGAACATTTTTTTTTCCCATAATATATGGGATAATCCTTCCCATTGATTAACATTTTTCAGATGGGTTGAAACCACCAACCAGCCATGAAGTGAGTGTGTTTGAAAATGGGGAAATAACATGAAATAACTCCTAAAATGACACTAAGGAAAATGATGAGTAACTATGGGATTATTTCGCGTGCCCTATTTTCAGAGAAACCATCTGATCCATAGAATGGCTTACCATGGGGATGCAATTGAGAGATTCAGCATGCTGCAAAGCCAATGACACACCACAACTCCTGTGTGCTGAGACTGGATGCCCTGCGATAATTTTCAACATACCCTCTGGTTATGACTAACATAGCTATTGAAAATGATCCTTTTTAGTGAAGTTACCCATTCAACATGGTGATTTTCCATCGTTTTTTGTAGGTTTACCAGGCCGGGTAGCCATGGAGAATCGTCCGTTTTCAGATGATTTACAGACATCAACTGTTGGGGATTTTCCAGTGAACTGTTAGGTGATCCCAAGGGTGAAGCCTGTGATTTTTTTTGGGATGTTTCAAACATGACCCTCCGGTAAACCTACAAAAAACTATGGAAAATCACCATTTTTAATGGGAAAATCCACTATTAATGGCTATTTTCCATAGCTATGTTAGTTTACCAGAGGGTAACCCGCACAAAAATGGTTGGTATCCGGGATTTTTGGCTGGAAGAGTCTAGACTCGGTGGCATTTTACGACACGGCGTGCCGAACTTTTCAGAGGTGAATACCAGGTTATTTAACCTTTTTAATAGGTAAACCATGGAAAATAGCCATTACCAGATGGTATTCATCCCATAATTTTTTCAGGGGTCATTTGTTACATAGCCATGGAACATCACCATGCTATTAATAGGTAAACCATCAAACAACATCTATAAACGGTCCATGGCTTCCATAGCTATGTTAAATAACCAGAGGATAATTCAATGGCCATTTCAGGAACCTAAATTGGAGGTACCTACCATATATAAGGCCTATATAAGGCCTATGTAAGGGAATATCCCCCCCAAAAAAGGCCTTATATGGTACAGTACCTCCATTTTAGGATCCTGGAATTCCCATTGAATAATTATGATCGTTTTTTCAGAGCCTCCTGCAAAGCAAGAGTGAATCCATGAGAATCCCTGGAGAAGCCACATATTTTTATATATTTTTCCATGTTCCGAACGAAAGAACTCAAGGAAAACCTTTGGGGTTTTTTCGCGTCTATGTCAGATGATGTCAGATGTCTACCCCAGTTTTTTTGTTCCAAATGTGAACTCGCCATGATTCCTCACTTTCTCTAAGGCAAACCTTCCGAGCAAGTCGGAAGCAGACCTGCCTGAAAAGCCAACATCTGCCCATGCAGATGTACAGGATGAGGTGACTGATGGAGGTGGCTTGGGATGGTCGGGGGGTCGGGGGGTTGGTTGTGGGGTTGAAAAAACCCTCCAGGGGCATGGATCTCTTTGGGTTCAACAAGGACTTGAAGATACTGGGCGGCCTCATTTGGAGACATTCACATTTGGGAAGGTTGTTTTTTGCTTATGCAGGTCATAATGTATACTGATGCGTACTGTATTTTCTGTAACTATATATATATAATATTGCCTTTTTTTTGGAACAATAAACAAATAAATAAAGGGTATTAATTATATCACATGATCTATTCAATTTTTCCATAGCCGGAAGCATTGAACATTCTATAAATTGCATGATATAGCTCGCATGCACATTCGTTGAAGTGGCACTTCAAGGGCCGCATTGGGTCACGGCGGCATCGAAGTTTGGGCAATTTGTCAGGACACCAAGTGGCCAGCAAGGCTGCAGATTCCGAGAGCTGCTTGGATTGAACCCGGGAAGCTCCCACAACACTTGACATTTGAGATCACTTGGATTATTTTTGGTGTTATCTCTATAAATTATCTTTCATGATTAAGACGTTAGTATGTTTTGTAAAGTCAGAAAGGTGGGGTCAACAGACTTGTCGATCTTGTTGCAGCCCTTGCATATATAGAGGTAGACCAAGTGGCATTGGAAGGCTGCGGGGATGTCAACTTTTTTGGTTGGATGATGGTCGCAATTCTGCAGGAGACCCCGATCTTCCATGGTAAACTCCATGGTTTCAGGATGATTCCGCTTAATATTTTTCCCACCTCAACCAATTCATTGATCAACCGGGAACAGTTTCCATCGCAAAATCCGATTTATTTTTTTTTCACAGGTGACTCGGGCGATTCCTGGCCTCCCTTGGACGCAGGACTGGGTCAATGTTTTGAGGGGAGTTGATCAGTTTATCTGAAAACATCTGAAAACAAAAGACTTTTCCAGGCGCCAAGAGCTTTGAGTCTGAAGCATTTGACAGCGTTTGACAGCGTTTGACTGCGTTTGACATTGCTTCGTGATTATAGTATAGGCGAATGTGACCCAACATGACATAACATGTAACATGACCATTTTTGAAGTGGATAGCCGGATAGCGCTCTGGTGTGTCCACATCAGTCCATTGGAAACGAGCTGCAGGTGACGAAGCTCGAGAAGGTGACAGAGCGGATCTGAACAGTGACTGGGGCTTTAAACAGTTTGACGTCGTATGAGGGTATCGCATGGTATCGCAAAGCACATTTCAAACACGTGAAACGTGTAGGCGGCTAAGATGTGTCGAAATGTGTTATGTGCTAAGGCTGCTACGATATGTTTAAACAAGTGAAACGTGCTAAGGCTGCTAAAATATGTTGAGATATGTCTGACTACTGGGGCATCCCACTTTTGATGAAGTTTCAACAGTTCAACATGGCCATTTTAGTGCCTTTTAAGCCATACTGATGTTGTTCCGGCATTTTCTGGCATAATTTCTGCATGATTATGATTGTTGATGGTTCTTGATGTTGCATTCCCTGGTCCAAAAGACTTCGGAAACCCATGTTGTTTCTGCATATCCAACAGTGATCCCCACCACTTTCCGAGATGTTTTCGGTCAACTGGTTCATCAACTTCTGTCGGATGGGAAAATCTGCAGGAGACCCCTATGTTTCATGGTAAAATCATGTGTAATCCATTGTTTCCGGTTAAGATTTTCCCACCTCAATCAATCCATTGATCAACTGGGAACAGTTTCCATTTCAAAATCTGAGTTTATTTTTTTCAAGGTGACTCGGGCGATTCCTGGCCTCCCTTGGACGCAGGACTGGGTCAATGTTTTGAGGGGAGTTGATCAGTTTATCTGAAAACATCTGAAAACAAAAGACTTTTCCAGGCGCCAAGAGCTTTGAGTCTGAAGCATTTGACAGCGTTTGACTGCGTTTGACAGCGTTTGACTGCGTTTGACATTGCTTCGTTATTATAGTATAGGCGAATGTGACCCAACATGACATAACATGTAACATGACCATTTTTGAAGTGGATAGCCGGATAGCGCTCTGGTGTGTCCACATCAGTCCATTGGAAACGAGCTGCAGGTGACGAAGCTCGAGAAGGTGACAGAGCGGATCTGAACAGTGACTGGGGCTTTAAACAGTTTGACGTCGTATGAGGGTATCGCATGGTATCGCAAAGCACATTTCAAACACGTGAAACGTGTAGGCGGCTAAGATGTGTCGAAATGTGTTATGTGCTAAGGCTGCTAAGATATGTTTAAACAAGTGAAACGTGCTAAGGCTGCTAAGATATGTTGAGATATGTCTGACTACTGGGGCATCCCACTTTTGATGAAGTTTCAACATGGCCATTTTAGAGCCTTTTTAAGCCATACTGATGTTGTTCCGGCATTTTCTGGCATAATTTCTGCATGATCATGATTGTTGATGGTTCTTGATGTTGCACTCCCATTTGGTCCAAGACACTTCGGAAACCCATGTTGTTTCTGCATATCCAACAGTGATCCCTACCACTTTCCGAGATGTTTTCGGTCAACTGGTTCATCAACTTCTGTCGGATGGGAAATCTGCAGGAGACGCCTATGTTTCTGGTAAAATCATGTGTAATCCATTGTTTCCGGTTAAGATTTTCCCACCTCAATCAATCCATTGATCAACTGGGAACAGTTTCCATTTCAAAATCTGAGTTTATTTTTTCAAGGTGACTCGGGCGATTCCTGGCCTCCCTTGGACGCAGGACTGGGTCAATGTTTTGAGGGGAGTTGATCAGTTTATCTGAAAACATCTGAAAACAAAAGACTTTTCCAGGCGCCAAGAGCTTTGAGTCTGAAGCATTTGACAGCGTTTGACTGCGTTTGACATTGCTTCGTGATTATAGTATAGGCGAATGTGACCCAACATGACATAACATGTAACATGACCATTTTTGAAGTGGATAGCCGGATAGCGCTCTGGTGTGTCCACATCAGTCCATTGGAAACGAGCTGCAGGCGACCAAGCTCGAGAAGGTGACAGAGCGGATCTGAACAGTGACTGGGGCTTTAAACAGTTTGACGTCGTATAATGGTATCGCATGGTATCGCATGGTATCGCAAAGCATTTTTCAGACATGTGAAACGTGTAGGCGGCTACGATGTGTCGAAATGTGTTATGTGCTAAGGCTGCTACGATATGTTTAAACAAGTGAAACGTGCTAAGGCTGCTAAAATATGTTGAGATATGTTTGACTACTGGGGCATCCCACTTTTGATGAAGTTTCAACATGGCCATTTTAGAGCCTTTTAAGCCATACTGATGTTGTTCCGGAATTTTCTGGCATAATCTCTGCATGATTATGATTGTTGATGGTTCTTGATGTTGCATTCCCTGGTCCAAAAGACTTCGGAAACCCATGTTGTTTCTGCATATCCAACAGTGATCCCCACCACTTTCCGAGATGTTTTCGGTCAACTGGTTCATTAACTTCTGTCGGATGGGAAAATCTGCAGGAGACGCCTATGTTTCATGGTAAAATCATGTGTAATCCATTGTTTCCGGTTAAGATTTTCCCACCTCAATCAATCCATTGATCAACTGGGAACAGTTTCCATTTCAAAATCTGAGTTTATTTTTTTCAAGGTGACTCGGGCGATTCCTGGCCTCCCTTGGACGCAGGACTGGGTCAATGTTTTGAGGGGAGTTGATCAGTTTATCTGAAAACATCTGAAAACAAAAGACTTTTCCAGGCGCCAAGAGCTTTGAGTCTGAAGCATTTGACAGCGTTTGACAGCGTTTGACAGCGTTTGACTGCGTTTGACATTGCTTCGTGATTATAGTATAGGCGAATGTGACCCAACATGACATAACATGTAACATGACCATTTTTGAAGTGGATAGCCGGATAGCGCTCTGGTGTGTCCACATCAGTCCATTGGAAACGAGCTGCAGGCGACGAAGCTCGAGAAGGTGACAGAGCGGATCTGAACAGTGACTGGGGCTTTAAACAGTTTGACGTCGTATAATGGTATCGCATGGTATCGCATGGTATCGCAAAGCATTTTTCAGACATGTGAAACGTGTAGGCGGCTACGATGTGTCGAAATGTGTTATGTGCTAAGGCTGCTAAGATATGTCAAAATGTGTTATGTGCTAAGGCTAAGATATGTCAACACAAGCTAAGGTATGTCAAGAAAAGTGAAACATGCTAAGGCTGCTAGGCTATGTTAAAACATATAGTTACAAACTGTGAAATGTGGAGGTTGCTGACAAATTTCGAGACATGTGTAACGTGCTAAGGCTGCGAGAAGTTGGAGGCAGACCTGCCTGAGCTTGCGACAGATGTTGCAGATGTCGCAGATGTCCCACTAAGTGATGGAGGTGGGTCGGGATGGTCGGGGGGTTGATGTTGGTTGAGGTTGTATACCCTCCAGGACCCCTAACAGTTTCGAAGTAGAAGCCATGGCCCATGAAAATAGATTACTATAGTTTATGTACCTCATTTTACCTCTTAAAAATGAAGATTTTCCAGTTCCCAAACTGTTCCTTTACCACATTGCAGCGACTTGAAGTTTGAGGATCCTCATTTTGAGCCATTCACATTTGGGAAGATTGTTTCCTCTTATGCAGGTTATATTTGGTTATATTACAAAGTGTATATTTATAAATTCTAAATCATATTTGTTTCATATTTATTTATTTATTTATTTATTTGATTTTACGCGTGATATATTCATATTTTTTTTATGACCGGAAGCATTCGACATTCTTTAAATGGGAATATATGAATAGCTCGCATGCACATTTGTTGAAGTGGCACTTCAAGGGCCGCCTTGGGCCACGGCGGCATCGAAGTTTGGGCAATTTGTCAGGACACCAAGTGGCCAGCAAGGCTGCAGATTCCGAGAGCTGCTTGGATTGAACCCAGGAAGCTCCCAAAATGCGCATCCATACAACAGGAATCAACACGACATGTGACCCTGATTTTTTCAAATGAATTCTTCAAGTATCTTTCATGATCTGCAAAGATGCTAGTATGATTTGCTAACTGGGAAAGGTTGGGCTATCAGACTTGTTGATCTTGTTGCGGCCCCTACATATACAATTCTGCAGGAGACCCCTATGTTTTATGGTAAATTCTATGTAAAGTCCATAGTTTCGGGATGTTTCCGCTTAAGATTTTTGAAACTCATTGATCAACCGGGAACAGTTTCCATCGCAACATCCGAGTTTTTTTTTTCAAGGTGACTCCGGCGAATCTTGGCCTCCCTTGGATGCAGGCGGGACTGGATCAATGCTGGAGTTTGTGTCATGATGTTTTAGGGGAGTTGAATGGAGTTGAATGGAGTTGATCAGTTTATCTGAAAATCTTGAAACGAAAACACTTTTCAGCCACCAAGAGTTTTGAGTCTGAAGCATTTGACAGCGTTTGACTATGTTTGACTGCGTTTGACATCTTTTGGTTCAGGCGAACGTAACCCAACATGACATAACATGACTCAACCATGTTTGAAGATGTTTGAAGTGGATAGCCGGATAGCGCTTTGGTGTGTCCACATCAGTCCATTGGCAACAAACTGCAGGCGAAGAAGCTCGAGAAAGTGACAGAGTGGATCTCAACAGTAACTGGGGCTTTAAACAGGCGGTTTGACGTGGTATGATGGTATTGCAACATATGGCTACAAAATATGAAACGTGTTGGCTGCTAACAAATTTCGAAGTATGTGGAACGTCGAAGATGCTAAGGCTGCGAGAAGTTGGAGGTAGACCTGCCTGAGCTTGCGGCAGATGTTGCAGATGTCGCAGATGTCGCAGATGTCCCACTAAGTGACGGAGGTGGGTCGGGATGGTGGGGAGGTTGATGCTGGTTGAGGTTGTATACCCTCCAGGGCGGTCATTTTGAGCCATTCGCATTTGGGTATATAGGTTGTTTCCCCTTGTGCGGGTTAGATTATAAAGTATACATAACTTATATTTTCCACACACACATATATATATATATATGCGTGTTTTTATTTACACGTGATATGATCATATTTTTTTATGACCGGAAGCATTCGACATTCTTTCAATGGGAATATATGAATAGCTCGCATGCACATTTGTTGAAGTGGCACTTCAAGGGCCGCCTTGGGCCACGGCGGCATCGAAGTTTGGGCAATTTGTGAGGACACCAAGTGGCCAGCAAGGCTGCAGATTCCGAGAGCTGCTTGGATTGAACCCGGGAAGCTGCCAAAATGCGCATCCATACAACAGGAATCAACACGACATGTGACCCTGATTTTTTCAAATGAATTCTTCAAGTATCTTTCATGATCTGCAAAGATGCTAGTATGATTTGCTAACTGGGAAAGGTTGGGCTATCAGACTTGTTGATCTTGTTGCGGCCCTTACATATACAATTCTGCAGGAGACCCCTATGTTTTATGGTAAATTCCATGTAAAATCCATAGTTTCGGGATGTTTCCGCTTAAGATTTTTGAAACTCATTGATCAACCGGGAACAGTTTCCATCGCAACATCCGAGTTTTTTTTTTCAAGGTGACTCCGGCGAATCTTGGCCTCCCTTGGATGCAGGCGGGACTGGATCAATGCTGTAGTTTGTGTCATGATGTTTTAGGGGAGTTGAATGGAGTTGAATGGAGTTGAATGGAGTTGAATGGAGTTGAATGGAGTTGATCAGTTTATCTGAAAACATCTGAAAACAAAAGACTTTTCCAGGCGCCAAGAGTTTTGAGTCTGAAGCATTTGACAGCGTTTGACAGCGTTTGACTGCGTTTGACATTGCTTCGTGATTATAGTATAGGCGAATGTGCCCCAACATGACATAACATGTAACATGACCATTTTTGAAGTGGATAGCCGGATAGCGCTCTGGTGTGTCCACATCAGTCCATTGGCAACAAACTGCAGGCGAAGAAGCTCGAGAAAGTGACAAAGCGGATGTCAACAGTAACTGGGGCTGTGAACAGTCGGTTTGACGTGATGATCGTGATATGATGGTACCGCAACCATTCGCAACATATAACAACATATAGGTCTAGGTTAAAAAATGTGACACGTGCTAACGCTGCTAAGATATTTTGAGATAGGTTTGACTACTGGGGCACCCCAGATTGAAATGAAGTTTCAACATGGCCATATATGTCCAATTTAAGATATTTGAAGCCATAGTGATGCCGTGACGCGTTCTTTTCTGGCATAATTTCTGGTAGAGTTTCAGTTTATCTGAAAACAAACAATTCTAGTGGTGTTGACCGGACTTTTCCCCTGACTCTTTGAAGTCTGAATCATTTGACAGCATTTGACGTCGAATGTGACATTTCTTACATGCGAATGTGACCCCAGCATGACATAACATGACCCAAGCACTTTTGACAGCGCCCTGGTGTGTCTACATCAATCCATTGGCAATGAACTGTAGGGGAAGAAGCTCGAGCCAGCGACAGAGCGGATGTCAACAGTGACTTGGGCTTTTGAACAGTTGGTTTGACGTGGTATGATGATTTGTCAATCTTTCCCTGGATTCGTTGCGTGGAAAATCATGGAAAATCTGCCCAAAGAGTCTCTAGTTTTGCTGCTGGGCTTGACCATCAAGAGTCAATATCCCCGGTTTCGGTTGGATAGGGGACAAAAGAAGTACAACATTGAAGGGCAACAATAACAGCAGCAAGAGCAACATCGACCAAGAGAACAAAGAAGAACACAAAGAAGGAGACGAAATCAAAAAGAGGCTGTGAGCCTGACGGGCCTGTGCGGCAAGGGCTCCTCACCAACTGCCATTGGCGTGTGGAATAAAAGGCCTCTGAGCCTTGCCAGCTGAAACGAGGTGACTCTGATGAATCTTGGCCTCCCTTGGACGCCGTCAACCTGTCAGAGATGTTGGAGACAGATGTAGCTGAAGCGCCCACTGTGCCAGACGTAGCTGAAGCGCCCACTGTGCCAGACGTAGCCGAAGCACCCACTGTGCCAGACGTAGCCGAAGCACCCACTGTGCCAGACGTTCAAGTCAGCGATTTGCAAGGCGGGGCTGGGGTTGATTCACACGTAGGCAGGTTCCAAAGTAGGCGGGACTGCAGGGTAGGATCCGTATTTTTGCAGATTTTCCACTGGCAACTTGACAGGTGCCGAAGCGCAAGAGGACGGCGCAGATTCCAACAGCTATTGGGCCTAAGGGCGGTATGATATGTTTTGCTGACATAGTTTGGGGATGTTCTGGACATTGCTGGAGCCCTAAAGCCTCTAAGAGTTAATCCGGTCTAAATTTTTGCAATGGGTACGGTATGGAGATGTATGGAGCCTGCTCAGCCCATGACTTCACATATTTTCTCAACTTTTGGTGACCCGCATGTGCCTGAAGGCAATGGCTTCATAGGGCTAATAGAATGGAAGCCAGGGGATAGGTGCCTAACAAATTCTTGTTTGAATGGCATTGAGTAGTATTGAGTCGTGACATGTTGTGATCGATGGCCGACTTTATGAACATATTGTTGTTCCGTCTCAGATTTGTAAAAAAAATGTCAAGTGGATGGGAAACTGACTTGCAACCAGCACCCATCTGATAAAACAGACGACCTACAACCTGTACCTCCACCACGGCATGCCATGGCTGTAGTCTATTCGCCGTAGTCGATTCTGCCAGCTGAAACGAGGTGACTCTGATGAATCTTGGCCTCCCTTGGACGCCGTCAACCTGTCAGAGATGTTGGAGACAGATGTAGCTGAAGCGCCCACTGTGCCAGACGTAGCCGAAGCACCCACTGTGCCAGACGTTCAAGTCAGCGATTTGCAAGGCGGGGCTGGGGTTGATGCACACGTAGGCAGGTTCCAAAGTAGGCGGGACTGCAGGGTAGGATCCGTATTTTTGCAGATTTTCCACCGGCAACTTGACAGGTGCCGAAGCGCAAGATGACGGCGCAGATTCCAACAGCTATTGGGCTTAAGGGCGGTATGATATGTTTTGCTGACATAGTTTGGGGATGTTCTGGACATTGCTGGAGCCCTAAAGCCTCTAAGAGTTAATCCGGTCTAAGTTTTTGCAATGGGTACGGTATGGAGATGTATGGAGCCTGCTCAGCCCATGACTTCACATATTTTCTCAGCTTTTGGTGACCCGCATGTGCCTGAAGGCAATGGCTTCATAGGGCTAATAGAATGGAAGCCAGGGGATAGGTGCCTAACAAATTCTTGTTTGAATGGCATTGAGTAGTATTGAGTCGTGACATGTTGTGATCGATGGCCGACTTTATGAACATATTGTTGTTCCGTCTCAGATTTGTAAAAAAAATGTCAAGTGGATGGGAAACTGACTTGCAACCAGCACCCATCTGATAAAACAGACGACCTACAACCTGTACCTCCACCACGGCATGCCACGGCTGTAGTCTATTCGCCGTAGTCGATTTTGCCAGCTGAAACGAGGTGACTCTGATGAATCTTGGCCTCCCTTGGACGCCGTCAACCAGTCAGAGATGTTGGAGACAGATGTAGCTGAAGCGCCCACTGTGCCAGACGTAGCCGAAGCGCCCACTGTGCCAGACGTAGCCGAAGCGCCCACTGTGCCAGACGTAGCTGAAGCGCCCACTGTGCCAGACGTAGCTGAAGCGCCCACTGTGCCAGACGTAGCTGAAGCGCCCACTGTGCCAGACGTAGCCGAAGCACCCACTGTGCCAGACGTTCAAGTCAGCGATTTGCAAGGCCGGGCTGGGGTTGATGCACACGTAGGCAGGTTCCAAAGTAGGCGGGACTGCAGGGTAGGATCCGTATTTTTGCAGATTTTCCACCGGCAACTTGACAGGTGCCGAAGCACAAGATGACGGCGCAGATTCCAACAGCTATTGGGCTTAAGGGAGGTATGATATGTTTTGCTGACATAGTTTGGGGATGTTCTGGACATTGCTGAAGCCCCAAAGCCTCTAAGAGTTAATCCGGTCTAAATTTTTGCAATGGGTACGGTATGGAGATGTATGGAGCCTGCTCAGCCAATGACTTCACATATTTTCTCAGCTTTTGGTGACGCGCAGGGTGTGCCTGAAGGCAATGGCTTCATAGGGCTAATAGAATGGAAGCCAGGGGATAGGTGCCTAACAAATTCTTGTTTGAATGGCATTGAGTTGTGACATGTTGTGATCGATGGCCGACTTTATGAACATATTGTTGTTCCGTCTCAGATTTGTAAAAAAAATGTCAAGTGGATGGGAAACTGATTTGCAACCAGCACCCATCTGATAAAACATACGACCTACAACCTGTACCTCCACCATGGCATGCCATGGCTGTAGTCTAGTCGCCGTAGTCGATTTTGCCAGCTGAAACGAGGTGACTCTGATGAATCTTGGCCTCCCTTGGACGCCGTCAACCAGTCAGAGATGTTGGAGACAGATGTAGCCGAAGCGCCCATTGTGCCAGACGTAGCTGAAGCGCCCACTGTGCCAGACGTTCAAGTCAGCGATTTGCAAGGCGGGGCTGGGGTTGATGCGCACGTAGGCAGGTTCCAAAGTAGGCAGGACTGCAGGGTAGGATCCGTATTTTTGCAGATGTTCCACCGGCAACTTGACAGGTGCCGAAGCGCAAGAGGACGGCGCAGATTCCAACAGCTATTGGGCTTAAGGGCGGTATGATATGTTTTGCTGACACGGTCTTTTGCTGAATCCCCATGTAATTTGGCAAGTTCTAGCTTCAAAATCGTGCAAGTACCCTGCCAAATGCAAGGTTACAGCCGCTAGCATCCGCTAGCCCCTAAGTGCTGCAAATACCATGCAAAATTCAACGCTCATTCCGCTTCCAAATACTGCAAATACCACACGTTCCATGAGAAGAACATGGTGGACCCCCGTACGGCATTTGTCAAGTTCGAGCTCCCAAATGTTGCAAAGACAAAGCCAACAGGAATCCGATTCTTTTTGTATTTCGTGTGATCACCACCGTGGCATATATCATGCTATTTGGCATTCTATCATTCTATCTGACATATATTCGGACATACATTCTGACTTCCATCATCTTCCATCTGACATATTTTCTACCTGGTTGGTGGTTTCAAACATTTTCTATTTTCCATTTCATATATGGGATGTCATCCTTCCCATAAATATGATAATATGTTTCAAGATGGTAAAAACACCACCAACCAGTTGGCATTTTGTCTGGCACCAAAAAAATCTGTGTACCAGAGAGCTGGAACCCTGGCCCAGTTGAGAGTTTGGCAAGCCTGATTTTTGGTGCTCAGATGTCTACAGCTGAAGAAAACATGGGCAATGGGGGGGGGTTAGCATAATTATTGAAAATCACAATTTCCAATGGGTAAATCTACTATAAATGGCAATTTTCAATAGCTATGTTAAATTACCAGAGGGTAGATAAACAATGATAATTAAACATCTTTTGTTTACACAGTTTACACTCTGAAAAGATCAGTGATGTGGCTAAAACTGGCTGTCATGTTTACCATCCCCCCAGTCATCAGCATTTTTATAGGCGGTTTGGAGACCATTCCCAGTCATGGGTGGTAAACATGACATTGTTTTACCCACATTAAACATTCAATCACCATATATAACCATTAAATAAGCATAAAATAAACATATATAACCTCAACGCCTGGAGTTGTTCCAACATATTACCTTCTAACCTTTGGCAAATAGGCAAATAATTATGGAAACTCATCATTTTAAGAGGCAAATAGTTAAACAATCTATATAAATGGGCAATTTTCCATAGCACATTCTGAAATTATCAAAGGGTCGCCAACGCGCATGCTGGGACACTCCGCCGAGCAAGGTGAGTCGGGTGATTCCTTGCCTCCCCTGGAGTTCATACCGAAGTCCGAGCAGGATTGCTGGCACCCGATTTTCAAACAAACACATCTTAAACAAACGCATGATAATATCAATATTGAGATGCTAAGTCACCAAATCACGCACACATACACACACACACGCATATATATATATACATAATGTGACATACTCATATATTATATATGTGTGTGTAATATATGTATATGTAATTCACCTCTTCCTCCTAGTTGAGGCCCATCTTTTTTTGGCGCCGTGGCGTGGTTTTGGCCAAGTTTTCTCCAGGAGAACGTGGAAGTTTTGGGTCCTGGAGACTTGGTGCAGCTGGTGGATCTCCGGATGACGGACCTCAACGGAGAGCAGGGCTACATCCTACGACTCGTTCCAGGACACAAGGAGGAACGCGTCGAGGTACCGAGACGCCTTATGGGAAGCCTTATGGGAGCTGAACAGTTCGCTGATTTTCCGAAGTTTGGGGGGCACTTTGCGAAAAAAATCATTGAAGTTAGAGGTTGCAAATGGGAAAATCATGTTTGTTTGTGTTTTTTTTGGTGTAATATCATCGAATATCTTCGAACTACATGGGCCATTTTCCATAGCAGACTCTTAATTTACCAAAAGGTCAAAACTGGACCTGTTACCATCCCCTATCAAATCATACCAAATCGACCCTGGACCCTGGAAGGGAGAAGGCTCTTTCCATTGAAATTTGCAAATTCTGATCTCCCCAAAATAACCTCTTCCCCCTAATATTAAACACTCTGTTAGAACATGTTAGAACCATGGTTTAGTGGGGAAGTTCCACATAATTGGGACCATTTATGGGGTGTTCAATATGAAAGGGATGGGATTATATTGGAATAACATGGAGTCGGATAGATGTACATTCCAATGCGATCTGAGCATAAAGGCCGGTTGAGAGGGCAGATGTTGGGATTGCGAGTTCATTGGAAGCAGTACGATCCTGAGACTGAAATCATCTCATGTTCTTTCCAAGCATGTTTTGATCAGTGGTCCAAATTACACTAAGAAATCCATCTCCATGTTATTCCAATATTGAGCACCCCAATTTATGGTCCCAAGCATATTTCGAACAAAAAAAGTCAGTGGTCAACAAAAAGGCTTTGTGGCTCCAAACTTATCTTCCAAAGCCTTGAGAATATGGGTTTGTCTGGTGGGTTGCCTCTGAATCCATTTGACAAGCATCATTTTCCGCATAAAAATGGTCATGAATTGGCGGGAATACCAGTAATTACCACTTTTTCCAAAATATCCAAATTCTATCCCACAAGAATATTTGATACCTCCATTCTTGTTGCTTAGCACCCTAGTAAGTAATGCAAGAACTAGAATTTCAAGTTGATAATATATCTTTCAGGAAGTAATTATCATATATAATTTGATGTCTTAAATGACATTAATCCCATTAAAACCCCTCAAATGCATGTAAATTCCATGACATCCACTCAACCATACTTAACCCGATGAAATCCACTTAGACCCCAGTTAACCCATCAAAGTTCATCAAGGCCATATAAATCCCATTAAATCCTATTAAACCTCATGAAACTCCATTGGATTCCTTTAAATCCAATCAAAATCCCATGAAACTCCGACAAAAACCTTTCAACCCGCTTGAACCTTCATAAATTCCATGAAATCCTACGGAATCCTTAGTTCAATACAGTTTCTCGCCCTGGATTTTTCCCGGACCCCAGCTGATCCTCTCCAATTCGCAGGTCAAGATGCTTAGCACCGGACACCTGGCATTTGCTAAAAGTAGCCAAACGGATCACCATAGTTCTGGATGAATTACGGTGAATTAATGATGCTTCATAGTAGTCAACTATGGATAAACTATGGATAAACCATGGATAAACTATTGTTAAAATATGGTTGAACTATGGTTAAACTATGGTTAACATATGGTTGAACTATGGTTAAACTATGGTTGAACTATGGATAAACCATGGATAAACTATTGTTAAAATATGGTTGAACTATGATTAAACTATGGTAAATACAGTAAATGATGGCAAATAATGGCTCGAAGTTCTGGACGAGTTTGATCATGACCACGTCGTGACGTTATCGGAATACATTGGAATGATGATTTTTATATGCGGAATCATCCCCAAAACGGCCGCATTTTATTTTATACCCTCTGGTAATTTAACGTAGCTATTGAAAATTGCCATTTATAGTGGATTTTCCCATCAAAAATGGTGATTTTCCATAGTTATGTTAGTTTACCAGAGGGTACTTATTGTTTTGCAGGTTAGTGAATCGTTATATTCCATTAGCCTCCAGTAAATAAACATAGACCCTGGCAGTCATCGGGGTTGAAAGATTAGTTTCCACTAAAAACTGGTGATTTTCAGGGTCTATGTTAATTTACCAGATGGTAGCTATTTTCAGGCAAATGAATTGCTACAATTCAACGAGAATGGACCGGTCTTCTTGGGAAAACCTTCGCAAACATAGGTTTTTTACACCTAAAAAATAGGGTGTTCCAGTTTTCCTCAAGGGGAATCTCAGATTTTATGAGTGGTTTATGAGGATTTTAACAGCTAGTATATAACTAGTAATTGCGAAAAAAAAATGATATCAAAGTAAAAATCGGATGATTTGTTTAAGGGGAAACCTACAGGATAATTTTGTTTTAACAAGAAATACCAGGTTTTCCCGTTAAGGTTCCCTCAAAACATGTCCAAAGATCCAAATTCATGGTGACTTAATCGGTTTTTCAACAATTAAAATATGGACATAGAATTGGGATATGATTGGGATGTCGAACAAATTATGGATGGGATTTTTACCGACTTCACATTTGGTTTTCAATGGTTTTCATATCATCCCACCTTTTTAACTTCTACATGTTTTTAAGAACACATGATCAAATACTCACAGTTTTTTTGAGAATCCCTAGGGTCAGATGACTTCAATCATTAACCATTTTGCTTCATGATTTCTGATAACTTCAATTCCAGTTTTTCTAGATTCTAGATCACCCTATGTTCTTGATAGGATCCTATACTTCAAAAAGGACTTTTAAAAACATCTTGAACTATACTTCTATACGTCTCTCTCTATATTTATATATAGACAGATCGTCTGATGAATCATCCCTTGGGACCCCCATGGGACCCATTCCCGCTTCCCTAATACTTTCCAGAGGTGTTTTCTTCTGGCTTCGACCTTAGAAGGCAGTTATTAGACAGGATGGGCCCCCCCCAGTTATAAGTGAACGTTGGTTAACAAAAACCATGATAATCCCAATGAACTAACTAGTTTGTGAAATATCTACCATAAACCATAGTTAAACCATTTATAAACCAACATAACTTAGCTATCTTGGGGGCCCCATCTTACATATATAATACGTATGATATTTAATCATTGTCATAGAAGCTGCATGGTTTCAATCCCTGAAAAAAATAAAAAAATGGGGATGGTGGAAAAACACATATCCCACAAATGATGATGATAACACATACACACAATCATAGAATCATGTTAACCAAATATTAAATAACCAACCAGGAAAGATGATTGTGTTAAACATGATTAATATTATCATGTGATCATCCCATTTAAATATTAAAATTTGATCATGGGATCATCCCACGACTTCCCCTTCCCAGGAAAGATGCTCTCGGTGAAACGCTCCAACGTCCGCTCCGTGGCCGCGCAGCAGGAGCGCTCCCAGCGCTCCCAGCGCGCCGAGCGCACGCCGCGTTCGCGCTCTGAGCCGCGGCCGCTGCGGAGGGGCGATGAGGTCGTGGTGCAAGGCTTGACCAAGGCCGGGTTCGTTGGGGTTGGAAAATTGGGGTCTAAAAACCCTCTGAACATAGAAAAAACTAGGGGTTAATCACCATTTTTCATGGGTAATTATATAAATCAACTATAAAGGGTCATGTTCAATAGCTATGTAAACGTTTACTAGAGGGTATATGCGGTATATGGATTTGATCTGGGTTTAAGGATGATTTGAGGTGTGTTTTCGCAGGTCTTTCGTGGGATTTTCAGTGGGTGACCTGTGGGGTTTTCTCCATTTTTGGGATTTAGGTGAGAGCCATCAAAGATGAATGGATCTTGATTGGTTTTACGGGCTTTCATGAGGATTTTGCCAAAATGAGAGCTGGGTGAATTGGGATACTCCCCGATTTACAGTTAAACAGTTGACAGTTTGGACTGCCAAAATTGACATATGAGACTTTAACAGTTTGCTATTGAAAAAATGACAATTTTTTTTGAGTGATTTGCCCCCAAAAGAAATGGTGATTTTCCATATGCCATAGTTTTTGGTATGTTTATCAGAGGGTACCTCTTGGGAATTCGGCAATGAAAAATGAACATTGGATGGTCATTGGACTATTCTTAGGATGGTCCCTGGGATGATCCTTAGATCTTTAGAGCAGTAAAAAATACCGGGTATTTCATGGCAATCGTGGGACATGTACATAGACACACATATATGTACATAAACATATATATATATATACAGTATATATATATGTATATACAGTATATATCATTTACAATCATTTGCAGTATATATATATATATATCCAAAAACTATCCATTTCAGCTGGAAAGTGATTAGAACATTTATAACACCGTCCGCTTTCCAGCACGTCAAAAACTGAAGATCTGGAGGGACACAAAATGCAACATGTTTTTAATTACCTTCTGGTAATTAAACAATGGCAATGGCTGATCCATCATTTTTTTCGATGATTTTCCCATCAAAACCGCCATCTATAGAAGATTTTCCATTGCCACGTTTGATTGCCGGAGGCTAATTTTAATTTTGATCATAGGAAGCCTGTTAAGTCTACTGGTTCAAGTAGCCTTTTCATCAAACTTCTGTGGCTTTTATATTTTCAAAGAATCAACATCATTTAAACCCACTTCGGGAGCCTTACAGTTCTATATTCGCTTCATTCGCAACGGTCACAAAGAGGTACGTCGCATCGATTGCGACATATTGCGACGTACCAGCTTGGTATCATGAAAAGCAGCATAGAAATATGTGCTTCTCAGCGTACAGGAGATAATATCACCATTAAATCGTATTAAATCCTCATAAATCCCATTGATAACACCATTAATTCACATATTGCAGTTCTCAAAAAGAAACATGTTCACAGAGCTATCATGTGCACCGATGGTCCCAAATATGTGATTTCATCCCCTACATTCACTGTTTTTTTTGGGGGTGGTGTCTTTAATATGAATGGGGGAAATGATTAAGTACAGTTGGTTACTTATAAGCCATCATAAACCATCTGAATATATATAAATCACTAATCACCATTAATTCCCATGAATATCTCATGAAACCCATATCTAATATTTTTGCTAAAGTTGCTTTATAATATCTACAACCAAGCGCATATTTTCCATTATATAACCAAGGGGAATGGTTAATAATATGGTTATATGATTATATTAATATGGTTAATAATATGGTACATGGTTCATAATATGGTCATATATGGTTATTTAATGACTATATATGGTTATTGAATGGTTAATGTGGGTAAAACAATGTCATAAACCACCCATAATTGGGAACGGTTTCTATATACCACATAAAAATGGTGATGACTGGGGGATGGTTTATGACATTGTTTTACCCACATTACAGGAAGAAGATATGGCTATCACCGCAATACTACAGTACCAGCCATAGAATATATTTTAGCAATTTATAACCCACAATCTCAAACCCAACCATACCGTTGAGTCGTTGAATAACCAATTCCAATTCAACTTATGCTTAGGGGAATCAATTTATACTTTACTTGAATTTGTTAAGTGTAAACTGTCTAATGAATATAGAAATGAATGAGTGTACTTTTGTGTAGATAAGATCTTCGGATTCATCTACTAAGTGACTATATAAATGAATCAAGATGCATCTCTATAGATATGCAATCTTCCATAATTCATGACCAGTCACTAGATATCTCAGTTACCAGCTGATTCATGACTCACTTCCTACGATTTCCTACGTGGCTAATTGTGATATCTTAATTCAACTTTCCCAACGATCAAAAAATCCCAATCATCCAATAGTTGGCCAATCCCAACAGTTACCCCAGACAGTACCCTCCAGTAAACAGTTTGCTATGCAAAATGACCCGTCTATCCCCGTCTATCACTGATTTGCATGTTTTTTACATGGATATGTTCCAGTTCGCAAAGAGTTTGCCATCATATCATATCATATCTCCATTAATGTGATAAAGCCAATAATGATTAACCAGCCCCAAAATCCCCATAAATGGGTTCGATTGAACATCTTGAAACCCTCCCTATCCCCAAATGGTAGGTTTATGGCTGTGGCCTTACCAGATAAACACATATAAACCTATACTATTTTCATGATCCTATGGTCCAAAAAAGGAAAACATCACATTTTTCCTACTGTTTGAAGACCCCAAGCCTCACCCCACCTCACCTCACCCCACCACCTAAGTGACGCGCCCCAGATCTTTCCACCAGGCGGTGGAGTACAACGGCCAGCGCGCCCTGGTCACCGAGATCGTTTCGTCGGCTCCGGGCCGCGTCACGGTGGAACTGCTGCGCTCCGGGCGGCAGATGTCGCTGCGCCGGGACAAGCTGCGGGTCATGGTGGAGCTCTCGGAATCGGAGGCGCGGGCGTTTGGTGGCGAAGGGGGGATGGGGGATGAAATGGGAGGAAAATCTGGACATTTCTAGAGAAAATCGAAAATCATCATGTTTTTCTTGATGTTTTCGGAGTTTTTTTCAATGTTTTTTCAATGATTTTGTTGGTTTGTGGGGGGTTTTGAAGTCGAGACATGTTGAAACATTCCAATGTTTTTTTTATCCAACGGATTTCTGGACACAATACTATAACTGGTTGGTGGTTTGGACATTTTTTAACTTGTCCATATATTGGGAAGAATCATCCCAACTGACGAACTCATATTTTTCAGAGTTGTGACTCAACCACCAATCAGATAATGATTGCATCATGTGTGGTTTATCATTGTTGAAGGCCATAAGCACTGCTGCATACTGCTGCGAAAATGCCAAAGGGCCTTCATCATGATTCCGCGCCGTCCAGCCTGGTAGTCTTCAACTTCCCCCAGATGTACCTTCCGGAAAATTCCACATGGCAATGGGGAAGTTCCAGATGTTGATATATAGAAATCATCTACCAATGAATATCCCTGAAAATCATGAAAACGTGTGAAAATTCATGATGCTACCAAACCCATGAAAGTCTCAGTTCACCCAGTTGGAATTCCATGATCTTCATTGGGTTTTTTCGGGTATATCAAACCAGCGCGGGTGAGGACGAGGACGACGAGGATCTCGCGGATTTGCCCCCGTTGCGCTGCATCCGGCCGAAGATGACTGCGGAGTCCAAGTTTCAGATCGGACAGAAGGCAGATATGGGGGATAGACCCCAGATAGATTTTCCTGGTTGGTGGTTTCAAACAGGATTTTTTTTAATGTTTTTTTTCCATAATAGTTATATGGGATAATAATTAACCACCAACCAGGTTTCTATATCCCCATTGGATAAAATGGGATGAAATATTATAGTATGTTATAGTTGTGTATATATATATATGTATAGTTAAATGGATGACACAGATACAAAGATGTATAAACCACAGAAACTGAGTGGGATATCGCATCCAGGGAATTGTTTCGAGTTCCCGAAACTGAGTCCATTGGGCATGGTTTTTTTTGAAAGTTTCAGATGACTTGAAATGGCAAACTCGAAATCATTCATGTGGTAAACCGGTGATGCCAATATAGAAGCAATGGGAAACTAAGGATTCTAAAATGGAGGTACAGTTAGTACCATATTTTTGGCCACCTTTTGTTGGATATGCCCTGAAATTTAGGCCTTCAACTAGGCCAAAAATATATCTGGTTGGTGGTTTTGGAACATTTTTTATTTTCCATGATATATCGGATAATCTTTCCTATTGACTTTCATATTTTTCAGAGGGGTTGAAACCACCAACCAGATATGGTAGGTACCTCCAATCAACGATCAATCGGTGCATGGCTATTAATATAATGAATTGTCCACCCTAAATGGTCGGTTTGTGGCAGCTTTGCCGCATTCGGAGGTCTTCATAGCTGCAGTTTCAATCGAGCCCTTTTGGATCGATTGGATGGATATTTGCGACACAAATGGCAGGTTAAAATCCATCTAAATTTAGTGACCTGTGATTTATTCTGAATCTAGATTGACAAACATCGATCCAAAAACCTCATTGTTTGTGACTTTACCTGGCAGGTTTGGTTGCACATGAAGCAAAAGCCTGAATACCACGGTCAACAGGTGGGATATGGCGGGATTGGTTTGTCATGATGTTGGGAAATGCCAATGTTGCTCTTGACCCAAGTGAGCCAAGTACCAAATGCATCCAAAACACTGAACGTTTCCATGTTGGCTTCTGAATGTCTCTTCCGACTTTGCTTTAATGACTTTAATGGTAGACCCAGTGAGAAACCTCCAGTATATACCTCCAGTCTTGGACGGTGGAGATGGACTTGACTGGGGTATGCCACATCTGATTGTTTCTGGTTTTGTGTCCTATTGAAATATGTTTGCAGCCAAATTCACTTTCTTCGGCAAAACACCATGCACAACACCATGCTGGATACCTCACTCTTGCTGGAGATTCTTGCTGTATATTACAGCTAACATCCCCATCATCGTTCCTGTCTTCACATGGGTCAAAGAGTCAAAACCATTCAACACCTTTATTTTTCACACATGCGATGATTCCCAGATTTTCACATCCATCAATCGCTTTTTTTTGTCATCCCCCAAAAATTCAATGGATTGGTTTACGGGAAAATCGGAACCGGAAACCGTCGTTTTTCCCATGAAAGTAATGGGGGTTTCCGGTAAAATTTCCCTTAAACCAATCCATTGACAATAGGTAACCCACCTTTGGATGGTTAAAACCCTACAAATCATGGGATAAACCATCTATCAACCGTAGGTCACCATTGAAAAATACCAGCGGCCCCCTCCCATCCTTCGCCATCGGCGCCTCCCACGACGACACCGTGCAGGTCTTTGTGCTGCCCTCGGATCCGCTGAAAGGGACCGGGGTCATGGCCACCGTCCAGCTGTCGAATGGGAAGAGGATCATCACCAAGGAAAGTCATCTGAAGGAAGATCCTCCAGAGCCCCTATCCAAAGGATCCAAAGGATCCAAAGTCAAGGGGCGGAAGAAAAGAGAGATCTGATACCCTCTGGCCTCTGGTAATTTAACATAGCTATTGAAAATGGCCATTTATAGTGGATTTTCCCATTAAAAGTGGTGATTTCCTATAGCTACGTTAAATAACCAGAGGGTATCTGATGATTATCTGATGATTTTGATGTGGCCAAAGATGTAGTGAGGGCCAAAAATGTTCAATGTTCATTGCCAAGTCTACTTCAGTAGACATCAGTAGACACTTTTTGTAATCTCTTGAGCTAGGAAAATTCCAGAGGGGTTCACATACCCTTTTCTTACACTTGTACATAGCGATGTGCGTCATCCAGGTCACCTATTTGCCGCGGCAGTTTTGGTCAAAAAACGGCAGCGGAGGTTCCTGTTTTTGATATTTTTAGATTGCGTGTGGGCCACAGTGAGCTTATACATGGCTATACCTTCCGATCTATACCGCATACCCTCTGCCAGAGGGTATTCTGAAATAACAACCGTGAAATCACTACTTTTTCTGTTTTTTTTCCCATACTGTGGACTGAAGAAATCCTGCACCACCTTGGATGGTTAAAACCCCAGAAATAATGGGATAAACCATCTATCAACCGTAGGTAACCAGTGGATTTTTGGAGGCACCAAATTTGCACCCGCGCCTGGCGGAGGCGGAACGTCGCCGGAAGCGTCACGAGCTGCTTGGCATCGCCAACGGCAGGGTGAATCCGGCCATGTTTTTTTCCAACAAAATTAGGGTGACTGAAAGGTTACCCTCTGGTAAACTAACATAGCTATGGAAAATCACCAATTTTAATGGGAAAATCCACTATAAATGATCATTTTCAATAGCTATGTTAAATTACCAGAGGGTATCTGGTTGGTGGTTTCAAACATGTTTTATTTTTCCATTTCATATATGGGAATAATCCTTCCCAACTGACTTTCATATGTTTCAAGATGGTTCAAATCACCAACCAGTTATGTCATAAACCATTTAATGTAACGATACCAATTTTTAATGTTGTCATGGTATAATTACTTAAATGTAATGGCAATGTTTTTTTCAATCTGGTTGGTGGTTTGGAACATGAATTTTATTTTTCCATTCAGTTGGGAATTTCATCATCCCAACTGACTTTCATATTTTTTTAGAGGGGTGGCTCAACCATCAACCAGTTGCAAAAAATCTTGAAACATCTCCAGGTGTCATCAAAAAAACCCATCATTTCTACGAAGATCATCTGAAAAATCCCTTGACTTGAACAGTTGAGACCTGGAAACCTGGAGACGATTTCTGGGAAAACATGTGAAAGATATGGGAAACTCTATGGAAAGTCTGGGGTCATTGGATATGTTAGAGAACTCTGGGGGAATAAGGGTGGTTTAACCAACATGGGGATTCAACCAAGAAACAATTCTTGGAGAATAACCAGCGAAATAGCTATAAAGTAGAGATTTGATGAGTAAAATCATGTTCTTTCTTGAACGAAAACAACCACATGGGGATACATGGAGATGTTGGATGATGTTCTAGACATTAAATATGAGGAATTCACGCTTCCCGAATCGTTTTCCGTTCTTATCCTGGCATATTTTCTCACATAAACCCATGAAATATGGTCCAACCGGTTTTTTTTTCCATCTCTTCATCATTATTCTCCATGTTTTTCTCATATCTTCATAAAATTTCTCTAGTTGTCTCCCATATTTCCACCATTTTTCGCCATTTTCCTTAGGTTTTCCGCATTTTTCGTCATTTTCCCCAGGTTTTCCCTGGGTTTTCCCCAGGTTTTCCCCACCTTTCCACAGCCTCCCCGGGTGGTGTCCCCGGCTTCGCCGTGCTGCGCCGTTGGCTCGGCGAAGGCACCTGCAGGGCCTGGCGGAGGAGTCCAAGCGCCGCATCGAGGCGACGGGCTGGGCCTGGCATCAGGTGCTGAACGTGGCGAGGGAGGCGACCTTACAAGAGGTGAAGCAGCTTGGTGGTTGAGAAGAAGAATCGTGTTGGAATATGAATAGGATACTGGGATCATTATCTTAGTATTGGACATGTTATTCATAATGGAGGTGAAGATGGTGAAGCAGCTCGGTGATGAAGAATCTATGGATGAGTCTATGGTTGATGAATCTATGAAATCTCAATATCTAGTGTATAGTACATAGATAATTATACTTAATAATAGTTGATAATTAATGGTGATAATTAATGGTGATTATCTCCATAAGGTGAAGCAGCTCGGTGAAGAATCGTGATGGATCATTTGGATCATTAGTGATCATTAATCTGGTTGATTAATCTATGGTTGATTAATTTATGAAAATCACAATATCTAGTGTATAGTACATAGATAATTATACTTAATAATAGTTGATAATTAATGGTGATAATTAATGGTGATAATTAATGGTGATTATCTCCATAAGGTGAAGCAGCTCGGTGAAGAATCGTGATGGATCATTTGGATCATTAGTGATCATTAATCTGGTTGATTAATCTATGGTTGATTAATCTATGAAAATCTCAATATCTAGTGTATAGTACATAGATAATTATACTTAATAATAGTTGATAATTAATGGTGATAATTAATGGTGATAATTAATGGTGATTATCTCCATAAGGTGAAGCAGCTCGGTGAAGAATCGTGATGGATCATTTGGATCATTAGTGATCATTAATCTGGTTGATTAATCTATGGTTGATTAATCTATGAAAATCTCAATATCTAGTGTATAGTACATAGATAATTATACTTAATAATAGTTGATAATTAATGGTGATAATTAATGGTGATTATCTCCATAAGGTGAAGCAGCTCGGTGAAGAATCGTGATGGATCATTTGGATCATTAGTGATCATTAATCTGGTTGATTAATCTATGGTTGATGAATCTATGGTTGATGAATCTATGGTTTATTAATCTATGGTTCATAATATAATATATAATAGATGATTATAGCACTGGAAAAATGATTGATGGAGGTGAAGCAGCTCGGTGAAGGTCATGGATCATTGGATCATAGATTTCTCACTAATGGATGATTGTCGACTATTGGGATGAATAGTTGGAATATGAATAGGATACTAATGGGATCATTATCTTAGTATTGGACATGTTATTCATAATGGAGGTGAAGCAGCTTGGTGAAGAAGAATCTATGGATGATAAATCTATGAAATATCAATATCTAGTGTATAGTATATAGATAATTATACTTAATAATTATACTTAATTATATAGTATATAGATAATTATATAGTATATAGTTATCACCATGAATTATCAACTATTAATTATCAATAGCAATATCTAGTGTATAAATAGTATATAGATAATTATACTTAATTATAGTTGACAATTAATGGTGATTATCACCATAAGGTGAAGCAGCTTGGTGAAGAATCCAGATTCGGAATCCATGTTTGATTAATCGGATGATTATCTTACTGGAGATAGTTCATATCTAAGAGGTGAAGCAGCTTGGAATCGTGATTCGGATCATTGGATCATTAGTGGTTACAATAGTTAGTTAATGGATGTTCATGGTTGATTCATCTATTGTATGTACTTTGATTGGAGAATGGATACTGCATTGAAAATGGAATCATATACTCTTCATTGTTTTTTGGTATATACAATAGTGACTACCTCATTGTGAGAAACAACAACATGTGTGATTTTACATGATAGAACTGATAGAACGATCAATGATACTCGTACCTGGGGAATGATATATAATGACTGGCCGTGGGCACCGAGGCAAGCCTTTCGTGATTTAGCTTTGTTGCATCATCCAGACAAAGGACTCGAAAGTTGCAACGAGACGCAGCTTGGTTGAGACGGGCTGTGGGTCAGTACCTCTGAAATGCAATATTTTGAAGGTTTACAAACCCATGAACTACAGTTTTAAAAGCAATAAAATCCACTTAACCAAGTTATGAACGTCAACTTAGTTATCGTAAACCGGGGCCTCAGTTTGTGTTTCGGAGCAGGTGAAGCCCAGTTTTGGAGGTACCGGATCCATATTTAAGGCCTGGATATCAGGGATCCCCACCAGATGGGCAAACATATGGTAGAATACCCTCCATTTTAATCCATTTTTAGGCTCCTGACATTACTGAATTACATGTTATAAAATGTAGTATCTATAAACTAACATTATATATACATAATTATATATTTGTTATAGTTATTTATAATATACTTAGGGTCTCATAAACTAACATAACGTAACCCCCTATGAGCTTCCACAGTACAGATCAAGGTTCCGCATCGTTCGCGGTGCTTATCAACGCGCCTTGGCCTTCTTCCAAGAGAAGGACCAGGTCGAAGCCTTGGACCCTGGCCGCTTTGGGTGGAAATTTTGGGTGGGTTTTTTTGGGTGGATTACCCGGAGGTAAACGGGTAAACCATGGTAAACCATGTATGCAAAAAAAAAAGTAAAGCCCCAACTTATGGATGGTTCAATATTTGTTTTATAATGATGAAATATATAAGATATCCACTTGTCTCGATCCATCATCATTTTCACCGTGGTTAAGAGACAAAAGTCGCTCAGTTGCTGAGGCTGGGACTTAGCAGAAGCAGTGAGGGTAAGACCATTGTTTTGGTCTTGGTGTTTTGAACAAAGTGCAGGACATCTAAAGAATCTGAAGTTTGGCATTTCTTACTGACTAAGCCAGCAGCTCCCCGAAAAAGTTACTAAATTTGCCATGCTCAAGAATTGCCGGTGAAAGGTTTGGAGGATGGGAGTATTTAAAGCCCTCTTTGCGGAACTTGCGCTGCTGACCAGCAGCCAGCACTCAGCGTGAGCTGAAAATGCTTCGTCGCTCACAGCTGAAGAATCGCTCCGTTCTGAAAGGAGCAAATGGCGGGCTGAAGGTGGCAGAATGAGTTGGGGTTTGGTATGGAAGTTTCTGATATTTCTGTTCATTGTTTAACGATGGCAGCTCCAGAGCGTTCAGAAATCCGCCAAAATCCTCTAATTTAGATATGGCTGGTATGCTTTGGTCTTCACAGCGTAAAATGATGTAAGATGGA